TATCAAGATCCTGAAGGAGATGAAAGACCTGTATGATCACTAATTCACCTCCGTGTACAGTAGCTCTCCACCTATGAACTGAACCTATGCAGTTGGAGTAAAACCTTGGAGAATACCACACACACGATGAATATACCTGCCATCAGTCTTCAACAATCAGACCCAAGAGTAAAACATCATCTTAACCCGGAGTCTTACATGAACCATATGTTACATCTATGCATTGCTGGAAATATCGGGAGGATTTTTATGTAGTGTGATGTGGGACTTTTAAATTATTGCTGTGTCTGAATACATTTATTATAACCTTTTTTAATATCCATGGGTAAACTGATTAAAATTTGTTATGCTCTCCTCCAACACTGGGTCTGGTTCTCTTTGTACATACGAGTACTAGTGCTGATAAGGCAAAAGATAAACTAAAATATAATACGAGGCACTGTTTTTCTTATGGTTTACCTAATTAAATGTGAAGAAGAAGAAGTAATAGATACTGTACCTGATATTAACCTTAGAAAATTTTAATGACATCCTTAAGTTTATTTTGTTTGATATCCAGGGGCACTGAACATGCTGTGTCGATACATCGTTTATTTTTTGCCATTTTCAAAATAAACCTATTGACCTAATATAAAAGTTGAAATCCGTTTTAAAAGAGGCACTTTTACTTGGTTTTACAAATCATTAGGTTTACAGAGAGAGGCGAATCAAGCTAGAGTATCGAAAATATAATTCTTTTAAGATAATAGCAGAAATGTGTAAAAGAAATAGTATTGAGGAACTGGGAAGTTGGAAGTGATGCAAGTTTGTTGTGTAAGATTACAGATGCTGCTGACATTTACAAAGTCAGCTTCGTATATGTGCTAATACGACGGACAGATGAGATCTAATACATTTACACTTATACAATTACATTGAGTTGTATAACGTTTTATATACCGGCTTTGAAAACAAGGTATAGACGTGACAAACAGAAAAAATACATGTTTTCACGGCTAACCGCAAAGTTTAAATGTTTGGTTTCAGAAGTTATATAGTGGGGAGGAGATCGACTTCTGTACTTGTCTCTTGCCTTTCCTGCAGAGGTGCAGCGAACTCCGACCTCCGGGATGTGATTGAAAAGTGTGAGGAGAAAGAGCGAGAGTGCAGCTGTTCTTCTGACAGCGCACTCTCCAGGACCAAGAACAGGGAACGCTTCAGCTTCTTCCTGAATTCATCACACATGAAGACGTAGAGGATGGGATTAAGGCAGCTGTTTGTGAAAGCCAGCATCACAGTCGCAGGTCCTCCAAGCTGGACGAATATTGAGAAAGATTTATCCGTTAAACCCTTTATTTCTAACAATTGTATAACATGAAAAGGCAGCCAGCAGATGAAAAAGGCAAAGATGATGGCGAAGATAATTCTGTTGGATTTGTTACTTCTTGTTCCATGCAGACGACGAGCACGGACGTAAATGGCCACATTGGAGGCACATATGACCAAGAATGGGATGAAGAATCCCACAAAAAAGCGAAAAATAGTTAGAGTCCATACTGGTGTCTTTGGTGAATAGGAACAGTATTCCTTTCCCTCGCGTGTCAGAACCGAACGGTAACTTGCGTAAGGGGCGCTGCAGATGGCAGCAATCAACCAGACAAGAACCGTGGTTACCTGAGCCTTGATAATGGTGCGTTTGTTTTGTGCCCACACCACCACCCAGACAGTCAGGCAGCGGTCCAGACTGATGACCATCAGGAGGAAAATGCTGGAGAACATGCTAATCACGGCCACAAAGTTGTTGAACTTGCACATGAAACCCCCAAACGGCCATTGGTTCTGACGAGAGGTAATGATGGTGGGGAAAATCAAGAAGAGCGTAAAAATAAAGTCAGCCAGTGCCAGGTTCAAAAACCAAATGGAGTTGACAGATTTTTTCATTCGGTATCCGGTCACGTAGATGACTAAACCATTGCCTACAGTTCCAACTATAATTATCACAGAGTAGACGACCACAGACACTATGGGCATGACGTTTCTAGCCACGTATTCCCACGCTGGACGTGAAGGGACGGTAGGATCTATAAAAAAAAAAAAAAAATAAAAATGTTGATTTAATACATTTTGCTTACAAAAGTAGTGCTTTTATTTCAATCCTATAGCATTTTCAAAAAGGAAATTGATTGACATTTAATTTGTTATCAATTCCACGTTGCTTTAAAACCACTTAGAGCTGTCAACCAAAGAACAAGGAAAACAAAACAAAAAACCACTTGACATTTGAATGAAATTTATATTCAAATAAAAAGTAACATTTAATTTCAATTCATTTCACACACACATTTATACCCTACCTGTAGTCATTTCTCTGCTGTGATGAGAGCTTCTTTTGGTTTGGGTGTTGTTGTTGATGATGATGATGATGATGATCAGAATTTCTTTCTGGCACTGCTCGTTCACTGACTCACTTTCTGAACACTTCCCTTTTTGCAGCTACCAATGAAACTGCTGCCAGTATTGAGCCACTACAACACATTAGAGTAATGATGAAGTGAAGTTTCAACAAAAGCTCAAGTGTGCTCTTAAACAAAAAGCCAAATACAAGATTCTATGATTGCAGTCTAATGGATTTTTTATATTGAATTACAAACCCATTGTAATTTACACCCCTCCCAAGGGCTCACTACACAGCTTTCAACTGCCTTCTGTATCCAGTTGTTTGTATGTTGTGTCATTTGTTGACCTGCCAAAACACACACACACACACACACAAAATGACAGCAATACAAATACTTCAGAGAGAAACTGTATTTGTTTTATTGTTACACCAACAGGCTTGAGTTTTGTGTCCACACTTTATCTGAAATCAGTGTTTGCAACAGGGCTACAGTGAAGAGCACAAGCGCTAAGTGATGTCTAGTTGGAGGCAACAATCTGGTCGACCCATCTGCGCAGGTAGGACACTCGGGCGTACACTGCGGGAGTGCGCACATTACAGTTGGAAGTACCCCAGGACACAATACCCACAAGGGACCACACTCCACTGCTCTCACAAACCAGAGGACCACCAGAGTCACCCTACAAATCCAACAAATAAATAAATAAATAAATAAATATATAAATATGGATACATTTTTAAAAAAAGGTTTAAAGCACACTTAGGTTGCTTAAAAGTGGTTTATTTTAACAGGATGTGATTCTAACATCACAGGAAATGTGGCAACTTCAACGCGGTAATGTCATAACATTATAAAACAAGAGGCTTTCTCTAATGTGAAATAGAAAAATTACACTATTACAATTTTTAATTCACAACTTTTCAACAGTGACATGTTGTATTTCATAATGAAAAAATATATCACTACTTTACTGTTAATGTCGTCATATTTTTATGAATGATGTGATCACGGCTAAATGTTTGCAATATAAATGTGTATTTTAAGGCAAGAAACTTTGTTTACCTGACAAGAGGACACACCGGAGGCACCGGCGCAGATCATGGCATCAGTGATTCTGTTGTAACCCCAGTACTGCTTGCACTGAGTAGGGGTCAGCAGAGGCAGGGATGTCTGCTGGAGGTAACGGGGGCTTGCTGCAAATAAAACAAAGATTCCAGAGTTTTATTTGTTACATGCACATCATACAGCGTACAATGTAAAAGTAAAACAGTTAAGTTAACCTTCCTTTTTATATGCAAATACATATAAATATAGATAGAAATTATATATAAAATAAAGCAAAAACAAGTCCCTTCTTACACTGTTCTTAGATGATAGGTTTAGATAGATAGATAGATAGATAGATAGATAGATAGAT